AAAAAAAAACAATATACGAGTTTTAAAAAAGATAAAGATTATAAGATATGAAAATTACTTTGTACATCATATAAACAATATCAATAGCATCTGATTTAAGTATATCATTGACAACAAGTTGAAAAATAGAAAAGAAATCAATAGATCTATTGTTATTTGCTAAATATATGATCATTGATTTATGATATTAGATAATAAAATTGAGAAGAATACTTACGAAATTTATTGAATCCTGCTTCACGAAATTGTCTTGCTGGTTTACCTAATTGTAAATCACGAAATGTATAATTTGATTGTTCACCTCGAGCTAAGCCAAAAAGTAATTGTGATAAATTAAATAATGCTTCCAATTGACGAGTTCCTATATACACAAAAAACATATTAACAATACCAAAAAACAAAATAATCACTCATTAAATACATACCAATTTCAGTAAGAGGAAGTCCAGTAGAATTTTTTTGTTTCATGTTCCATGGAGATATAGCTTTTGATGGTTTGATATTCTATAGAAGAAGATTGTTACATACAAATGTATATTATTTCCATAAGTACTTACTCGAAGTGTAAGTGTCGTAAGAAGTAAATCACTGTCAAATGTATTAAGATCAGGATAAGAATACCAACCATCAGCAAATTGTATTATATCCATACTATCAATATCATTTGTCGTTACTGTACAATTACTTGTATCATGTTCGGCAATTGTCGTATTTTGATCAAGTGCTGTAAGTACTGATCGATTTGCAGCTATACACCACATTCTTTTTTTTCTTTCTATTCTTTCTATGTATATAGAGACCTAAAATACAAAAGCAGTAATTTTATTAAAGATGAATTAATCTATGCAGATAATACATGCTTTATGAATTTTTTTGTTTCGTTCCTAATCCAATTGTTGGTTAAATATGACCTGCCAGCATTAATCACATAATAACAGATGTCACTAGAATCTAGTTAAATATTATACATTATATATATATAGTCATCAAAGTTTGAATATTCTAATATTATTCTTTATTTATTCAGACAAATACAATGAAAAGTTTTGTTATTTATAGATATTGATTTGTGCAATCTTTATGATAACAAAACATATTGAAATGCATTTCGATTACATTGTACAAAGGCGGGCATAAAGAATTGATTCTTTGCTTTGCTATCATCGGCAAAAATAGAAAATGATTGATGCATATTTTCTTTTCTTTTTCTCATACTCGTTAATTGTCGATGCAAAATTCCTATGCAATCAACACTAATAGTTTGTTCAACGACAGAATGAATGAATAACATTTGGAAAGCAAAAGAAAAATCTTGGATAACAAAGAAAGCAAAAAAAAAAGAAAAAGAGTTATTTAGCTTTGAAATATTTTTATTTTAACTTCAAAGATAAAATCTTCAAAGTTTTTGTGAATTATTATTACTAAATTTATTGTATGTCTAGAAAAAAAAAGTATGCTCCTTTTTCTTTTCCAAAGAATTAGATAACAGGCAACAATATATATATTTCATACCTGGTTCAACGTATCAATTTACAATAGTATTCTGTTTCATTTATAGGTAATATTTTGTAGAATGATGACAACAAAAAAAAAGGAATATGAGAAAACAATGAAGAGTTCAATATAAGCGTTGCTTTACTGCCAACATATATAGTTGGATATACATACAGAGACTGTTTGGAAATCATGTGATCAGTTTTTTGACCATTTTGGACCCTTCCCTCTTGTGATCAAACATGATTTTTTGGGATTCCCTCCTGTATGATCACGTGATTTTGAAAAGACCTCTACAATAAAAAGAACTCATGTAAATTTACTAATTTTTCATGAAAACTGGTGACCGGAGTCAAGGAGAGGGTAGCTTTGTGAACCTCCCACGCTTCATAAAAGTTCGTGACTGAGGCCAAGGGAAGCGGTAGCTTTGCGAAGATCTCCTACCCCTCCTCAGGAGTGAGCCAAATCTCGAAAAAAGTTATGTCAAAAAAAATGATCACATGATCAGTCGACTTGACCCTTCACTCCCTATCGGCGTGACCGCCGTGAGTCACGGTCACGATCACGATCACGATCGCGACCATTTTTAAAAAAAAGTCGTGATAATGACCAAAACTTGGTCACGGCCATTCACGATAAATTTTCAATGTAGCTATATGGCAGTTATTTTCAAACTTCATTAAAGAATTAAATATCGTATTTAGTATTCTTTCAATATGTATCAATATACTTTTCTAATTGTGCTAACTCAAAACGAAGAAATGGAATCAATACAATCAAAATACTAGGAAAAATATATCCAGTATTCATATATTTTAAACAGTTCGCATAAAAATACCTTAGAAAAAATGTGCCATTAAAAAAGATTATTGTCTTCTTGAAAAAGAATAATGTAATTTTCATATATTTTTCACTTTTTTGACTTTTATCAGACGACTTATTTGATGGCTGATCATTTTTCCATTCGTTCTAATTTCGTTCATTTCCATTCGGGCTTTGGTCAAATAAAGTTTCAAGAACTTTAAGATTTTTTCTCAAAAACATAAACTGATCAATTTTTTTCATATCTAATCTTGTTCATTTATCTGTTATATTGCCTCTCGCCCGTTCGCACGAGAAGATCAAAGGTTTTCTATTATATCCAACCGCAAAAGTTTTCCAGAGGGTCTTCTATTGTGTCTCTTTCGTTTTTACAATTTTTAAATAGAAAGGTTCCTCAGAAAGCCAAAGCTATTTTGGGGCTTTGAGAAGAAATTTTTAGGATTTTAAAAGCCTAGATAAAATGTTGAAAACACTGAGTAAGGTTTTCAGCTAAGAACTCTGAAAACTAGGCATATTATGATGTAAACCCAGTAATTGAAGTTGTGATTTTTCGAAAAATTAATTAATTGATTGAGATCTTATGTTAAGCCTCGTACATATTTTCTCCAAGAGGATCTTCTATTATGGAAAATCTTCTAATATAGGGGTTTTCTATTGGGAGAGAAAGGTACGCTATTTTGAGAAATAGAAAATAGCCGTTCCAATAAAAATTGGCGTGACTGCCGTAACTCACGGTCACGATGGCAACGATCGTGATCGTGACCGTGATCAAAAAATATTGGTCACGCCGATGTCTACTCGCTACACAATATTTTCGGGACTTTTTCCTAATTGATCACATGCCCATGTCGCTCATTTTTTATGAATCTCGCCGGGATCCCGCGGGATTAACTTTTCTATGCGGGAAGCCGCGGGATCCCGCCTATCCCGCAAAAAGTGACGGGATCCTGCGAGTTCCCGGTCAAAAAAAACAGGATCCCGGCAAAATTATTTTATCCCAAATGATTTCTTGTTCATTTAGTGAAGCGCATTCTACGGTTCTATGTTCAAAATAGATTCAAATTAGAATGTTTGTAGTTAAACAAATAATTGTAATCAATTCGATATAGCATATTTTATATCAGACGAAAAAGATTATTGTCATTGCCTCATCCGTCAGTGATTGCTCATCTCATTCAGATCGACTTGACCGTCATCATTGTTCTTTTTTCTGATTCAATGTCTGTTTACACAATAGTCGGCCGCTGTGACAATCATTCTTCTACTCTTGCGACATAAAATCGATCTATTTATTGATTTTTTTATTGAGTATGTACAATAATTTAGATATGTTAGACGATACTAATATTTATAAAAAAATCTTACAAAACTTACAGCATAACCAATACCGAACTAAAATATAAACTTGTAATATTTCCAAGTGACAATACATTTTCTATTGTTAATAATAAACAGTGTTCAAATTCAGAACATGATGGATTAATTACTGTACAAAGTGGCAGTAAAAAATATCTGGCAATGATTTTCAAAGTAGGTATCAGATAAACGTGAAATTTTTTTTTTAAAATGTGAAAAGTTATCTTTTGTCTATTTCTCTTTCTACTATAGGTACAATGGCTGAATTACATGAAGCACAAAAATTATTAGGAAAAGCTATGAATATTGTTAAGCGTTACAAACATAGAAGAAAAATATTTAAAGCAAATATTAATTGGACAAGAAAGACAAGAAAATATGATTCAAATGTTATTTGAAAATTTAAAAAAATACAAAAAGCCTCATGTAAAAAAAAGGTAAGAAGAATCACTTTCTGCAACAGCTAGACAGATATTGGGGTAAAAAGTCTCATTTTGGGCTAGTTTCTTCTTATCGTGTATTGCGTGATTAAGAATAGCCTAGAAAATATTACGGTCTGAAATCTTTTTTCGTAAGTTACTAGGGCTACAAGTTTCAAAGGCGATCTAGAGTGAAAATCTAAAAACGTATTCTAGTAAAATCATGCACAAATTAACGGTGCATTTTTAAATACTAGCACGGTTAAAGACTGACTATTATGGACATGATTTTTATATTTATTTATTTCTGTTTGGATATATATACTATTAGAAGAACCCAATGTAGAACAGCCAGTTGAAGAAAAAACATTTGAAACAATAATGGTACGTTCAAACAGCTTTAAACAGAGTAATCACATGTGAAGAAAGAACTTTTGAAGCAAATGTTTTTCATGCCCTTTTTTATACTAATCGATTGTTCATAAGATTTGTTTTCATTTTTTAGATGTATAAAAATCCCAACGATGGAAATGATGTTGATTTATTATCAATAACTGGTGTTAAACAAAAGATGAATTTATATGTAACATCATTAATTTATATTGTTTTTACACGTGAAGAATTATTTCAAATTGATGCAACAAAAATTAAATTTAATGATGGTTATAAATTAATATAAGGTTTGACTAAGAATTTATTTTATCTTGTTTGTTTAGCACAAATAATCTCATATATTGCTTATTACATCTCTTTTTTTAGAAGCTGTACGAAATAAATTTCGATTATCAGGTAATATTTTTAAAATTGAATGGTGTAATTTAGATGAAACATTTTTAAACAAACGTCGGGATATTAAAAAGGGTTTAAAAAAACAATGAACTACAGTTCAAACAAATTCATCAACACAAACCTAACACTATATATTTTTTTTACGAGAACATGTACATATCAACATGACTGATGTGATCTCAACTAATTTATTTTTTGTATTTTTGCTTTTCTTATATGATTAATGTGATAAAACCTTTTTTTTTTCTTCTCTTATTTCTCCATTTTCTTGCTTATTATACGCTTTGAACATGTAAAAAAAAATATAAAAATTAGTGAATAATAAACTGGATTCAGCACGATATCACAGTGCTCAAATTCAACAATAAGGCAAAAAAACAAAAAAAAAAGGATGAAGTTGAGAGTTGATCCACGGTCTTTGGTTTCTCAAGGCACTGATATAACAGTAATTTCCTGTCGGGATCCCGACATTTTTCGTGGGATCCCGCGAGATCCCGCCAGATCCCGGCCGGGATCCCGCACAGGATCCCGGACGGGATCCCGCGGGATCCCGACGAGAAATTGCCGGGATGAAGGACATGGGTGATTATCGAACAGCCTCATACACATGTAGTGTTCTACCTCGTCGAACTACGACTATATATTTCTGTAATTTTCGCGTCTATCTATCTTCCAGATTTATATAGTAACTTTGTCACCAGAGATCGATAGATTTTCTTCTTTATCTCTTCTATTCTTAGTTTCTCTTCACACAGTTCTACGGCTACCATTCAGATACAATCTATGTTGTGCTCGTCTTCTTCTTGTTCTTTCAATACTATCATCGTGTAATTGCCATCATCATTCCTAGGATAGAGAGAATCTGGTTGGTCTTATTGCATTTTCTGTTATACGCATGCACGTTCACATCTATTTCTTTTGCTTATAATGTCTCTTCAACTAACATTACAGACAAATAGAAATGACGATAGAAAAAATAGATAGCTGCTTGTGAATAGACATGTACCAAACCCGAACTCAACTTCGAGTTTTGATACCGAGCTTTATGAGATTGAGCTCGATTTGAACTCGAACTTGGAAACTCGATCGAGCTCAAACCCTGAAAGCTCGAACTCGATCGAGCTCAAACTCTAAAAGCTCGAACTCGATCGTGCTCAAATTTCAAAAGCTCGAGCTGGAGTCGAGTTCGAGTTTCATGGATCAAGTTTGGATTGAGTTCAGTGATCGCTGTGGATGTGGGTGTCGATGTGTGTGAGGCTCAACTAAAGGTAATTGAGGTTCAGGAATCCGAATCTGCAATTAGTTTTTCAAAATTCTAAACTTTATTTTTTTCGTAAAAGCAAGGCTTTTTTTAAGAAAATAAGGTTTTTTTTATAAGGCTTAACCGAAGGTAATCGAGGTTGGGAAATTCGAATCTGAAGTCAATCTCGCAAAATTTTGAGTTTGGTTTTCCTCTTGGAAAGAGCTTATTTACTGGAAAACATTGCTTTCTCTAGGAGAAGCTTTTTAATGAAGGAACTTTTGCACATTGGAAGGAAATTTTTTACTTGAAAACTTCTTTTTTTCTAAGAAAAATAATTCTTTTAGTAAAAGGAATAGTTTAAGCGTAAAAACGAAACTTGTTGCTAACAAAGTGCTTTTAGGAAAAAGAGTCAAATTCAAAATTTCCAAAAAGGGTGGGTGTGGGTGTGGGTGTGGATGCGGGTGGGGATGTGAGTGTTGGTACGGGTGTGGGTGTGGGTGTGAGTGTGGCTGTGGGGGAGGGGGTGAATGTGGGTGTCAGTGTGGGTGTTGATGTGAGTATACTGGGATAGCATCAATATTAATAAATCACAATAAATTCTCAATAAAGAAATAAGTCCGCTAGAAAAAATAAATCCCGAAAAAATAAGTCCCGGTAGTAGACTTCTGCGTGACCACGATTTTTCAGTCACGTCACGTCACGGTCACGAGCTGCTTGGTCACGGTCACGTCCATAGCCACGAAGATTTTTCGAAACTAGTCACGATCACGTCACGGACGCGAGCTAGCTAGTCACGGTCACGTTCATAGTCACGGAAATTTTTCGAAACTAGTCACGGTCACGTCACGGCCATGGAAATTTTGGATTACTAGCTGGATTTTTGTGCTACAAAATCAAGATTTAAATTGATTTCGTAGATTTTCCCTGTCACAAAACAAAGAAAACCCATAAATCAATTAAAATGTTGATTTTTTTTTACAAAAATCAGACTTTTAGTATCAAAATTTTTCACTGTTAAGTCACGGTCACGAGCCATTTGGTCACGGTCACGAGCTATTTAGTCACGGCCACGATCCCAGCCACGCCAATTTTTCGAAAACTAGTCACGGTCACGAGACGCCGTGACCGTGACCATTTTGCAGAAGTCTACTCGGTAGTCCCTCGCCACACCCACACCCCACCCACACCCACCCACACTCACACTCACACCCCACCCAAATTACAACTGATTTCGAATATTAATTTGATTGAATAAAGAATAAGTTATAATCAATTGCAAATCTTCAATCAGACTAGATTTGATTGAGATTTTAATTGATTTCGAAAATTACAACCGATTTTCCATAATAATGTGATTTAATGGAAAATAATGAATTATAATCAATTGAAAGTCTTTAATTAGATTAGATTTGATTGAGATTTTAATCAATTTCGAATATTATAATTGATTTCGAATAATAATCTGATTCAATGAAGAATAATTAGTTATAATCAATTGAAAATCTTTAATTAGATTAGATTTGATTGAGATTTTAATCAATTGGAAAAATTATAATCAATTTTTAGTATTAATCTGATTATCAGTCGGATAATCGACTAAAATCTTCGAAAATCGATTATTTCGTCAAGCAATTATTGAATTATAATTAATTTAATCAGATTATTGCCAAAAAATAGATTTTCCCCGAAAAAATCGGATTATCTTCTATATAATCAGAAACAATCATGATTTTTTCTAAATTTTTCACTGGGACGCATTTGAAAATTTTATTTGCATGTTGATGTATCTGGAACAACAGATGATATGAAGAGAGAAATAAGCGTAAATAAAGAAAAATATATGTTTCAGAATAATAATAAAGAAAAACAGTTAGTAGAAATTAAATATGTGTTAGAAGAGAATTAGAATAAGCGTTAGAAAAAATGCGAAGTGATGTCTGCAACGGACATGCTACTCCTTTGACTCTATCACGAATTGTAATCAACATCGAGAGAGTCTTCAAAGTACAATTCAGCCAGTTCTGTCGCACGTCACATGTGACTGCAACATAGACTACATCGAAAGTTTTTAGCGTTGATTGCGACTAAAATCACCTGGATTTTCAATCTTTTTTCCGTTAATATGCATATTTAAATCTGGACTTGCATATATATTGACATCTTTACTAACATAAATGCCTGTTGTTTGTCCGTCGGAAAGTTGCACTCGTTTATAACCATATTTATCCGATTCCGTGAAATACATTCTTTCAATTGGATCAGCTTCTTTTGCAGAGCCATCATTATTTTGTATTCTTGTATATTCACGGCACATGGGGCATAGTTGTTGAATACATTTGTGTTTAAATCGAAGTAAAATATCAAATGTTTTTTTAATCTGCAATATATTTCTGAATGTACTCTCAAAATAATAATAGCCTTTGGAACAAGATGATGATGGAAATAAAATTCTAAGTGATTTAATTGTATTCGTTTTTGCTGATTCACAATCTAATTGTTCAATGTACCCTAATGCCATATCATTGTAAAGCGAAATAAGTTCAATATGTTTATTACCATAAAGTTGTTGTTGAATTTCCAATCCTTTATTATAATAGTTCATCATGTTCCTATATTCACCCATTTTATGATACACGTTTCCAATCCAAACATATAACCATCCAAGATCACAATAACTGATTGATGAATGACTGTCATCCAAGCAAATGGCAAGTGCTTTCTTGTAATAGTTTATCGCTAATGAATAACCATTTGTCTGACTGCAGATCAAACCTATTTCACTATAGTAACGGAAAAGTGTATCATAATCTAATTTTGATGAACAATTCAATTCTTGTTCAAATCCTTTTTTACAGAATTCTAATGCTAAATTATAACTTTTATAGTGTAATCCATGCATAAAATATTCGGCTAAAAAATCAGGATGTTTTATCGGTAATCTGCCAAATGTCATACGATAATAGTGTTTACGTTTTTCACTATCACCTAAATAAAATAAAATTGACGATAACGTCCAATATGTGGGTATTATTCGATCAATATTAACTAACGATCGATAACTATTAAAAGTTGTATTTTCTATATCATGTTCTATCAATGTTAATTGAACATGCCAAATAGATTCTGATTTTTTACACGAATCAATACGAAATATTGTACAACATGTAAAAAGACATTCATTTTCCTCTTTTAAATTACTAAATTCTTTAATATTGGCAAATATTTTTGTTGTTGTTGACGGTATATTCATTTCAAACAAAACTGATTCTAAAAAAGGACTCGTCGAACCATCACCAGCAAATACACGAGCAACGTCTTCATCATATGTTGTTGATAAGAATATATTAATCATTAGAATACCTTGAACATTTTCTCGTAATGTATTTAATTCAGCAAGTTTCAACAATTGTCCGCGATAAGTAGTAATCGATTTTGAATTCGGAATAAATTGTTGATTGTGTGCTAATGTCAATTGATTATGTAAATCCTTAATAATAAATCGAAATTTGTATATTAAAGATAGATTTTTTGTTCGTAATGCTTTGTTTATTATACGATAGAGAAATGAATCCTTGGTATACCATGAAATAGCCAAATTGGATTGGTAGTTTTCTTCAAAATCTTTTATTCTATTCATTTCAGCTTGATTATTTTTATAATAAGACCGACATTGTATTAACATGTCATCCTTAGCGTTTTCATTGTATTCTTCTGGTACTTTTAATGATGTTTCAATGGCTAATTGAAAAAAAAATTCCGAATCGTCTTTGCCTAATTGACATGTTTTCTGATTTTTAAATGGTTTGTATACAGAAATTTGTATAGATTGTTTAACATTCATTTTCAATTTTTTTTCCAACCGATTAAAAATTTCGTCTACAGATGAACAAAATTTTACACGATAATCGTTTGCATGAAACCTTGTAGCAGACGATTTGTCTGTTTCAACATATATACATTCAATTTGTTTCAGATCTTTCAAAGTCGAGGATGCGTTTAGAAATAATTCGTGAGAAACAATAAAATAGATTTTTTCATCATTATGAAGACTTTTTATATAATTCAAACATTGATCAACATCGTGGTAAAAAGATACAGAATCAACAATAGTATATAAATGATCATTGACTTTCGTCTGGATATCATTTATTCGTTTATCAAGCCATACAATAATATAATCATGAAAAATTTGTTCATTATAATCGCAATCAAATGTTTTAGCTCGCATTTCACCTTGTGTTTCGAATGGAACATCTTTAAGTATTTCTATATATAATTGATTAATATATTTCTTTAATACCTCTACCACATTCCTTATGTTATGGCATCTTTCAATTTTGCTTGCTTCTGTACAATTCCAACTAAAAGAACGTTGAAATGTATTGCAAAAAACTTAAAACTCCGGTTCCCAGATCATGAAAACATTGGCATAAAAATAAATGTCACTACTCTCCCTCAAAGAATAGAAGACCATCGAGAGGAAAAGTGCCTTTGTTCCGCAACCTATAAGTTTAGAAGCAGACTCGTATTAAGACTAGTTTTCTGCTAATTAATAGAAAAATGTTTCTTCTTGCACTTTTCATTAATTTGTATCCATATTGAAGAAAGTGGGCCGCTATTTTTTCGAGAGAATTCCAGCATGGAGGTGGGGGTTCCTATTCAGTAGAGAGGTTTAGAAGATTATTTATTAAAAGTAAATTATGTAAACTAAAAAATAGCGACGTAATTAAGGGCTTTCCTTTCGGATTCTGTTCCTAGAAACTCTGGAATCCATAGTAATTTGTCATAAAATGAAGGAAAAGACATATTCAGATATCAGCACGCCCGAAAATGTACAAAAACGATCTTTCATATGCGCTCGCATTCCTTGAGAAATAGAATCCTGACACCCCTATGACGCAGGTCGAAAAAAAGTGAGCTCCAAATTTGGAGTTTACCAACGTCTAGTTTTCACCGAAAATTCTAGCTCAGAACTTTAACCCCCTTGTTTCTCATTGCTCAAATAAATACTCTTGATCAGGCTGAGTCATCCGGTAATACTTAAGAAAAAAAAGCATGGAGTTACAAGCTGCAATTTGTTGAAAAACTAGAAATTCGTAAACTCCAAATTTGGAGCTCACTCTTTTTGACCTGTGACGCAGTATTCTTGTATCTAAAAAAGACAGGAGATTTATCATATTTCACATTTTATACCCGCAAAGATGGCGCCAAAAGTCGCTTTTGCGAAAATCAAAATATTTTTATGACACAACTTACATTTGTGGATACATATATATTTTTCTTATCATCGACAAATATTGATCAATCACTAAGGACATAGATTCCCATAATTTTGCTGTTGTAATAAGGATTATTTCCTGCTGTTCATGCTTGTTATCCGACGTATATTTGATGAAATCATTTATTTTGTCAAATGCTCGAATATTCGGAACTAAATCATACAAATCATCCTTTGCTCCAACACAATATTCTGGTTCACTAACATTTTCATCCAACCATATAACAGGAATGTTTTGAATTACACGATCAATTTCGTTCTTATTAAATTGCTTTGTTTTTGACATCAATAATTCCGCTTACTAGAAAAATAGTGTTTTAAAAATAGAAAATTCCATATAACGGTGAAAAAACAGTTTGTGCTATAATTTCTGAGCAACTTTTCCAACATATTTCGGTTATCATATTCGTTTCTATGATCGTAGTGAAATGGGTTTGAGCCGTACTAGGAATGTCAGTGCTCCCATTCCTGAAAGTTTTGTTCTCAAGGAACAAGAATGAATTAGATCCACCGACGCGGATGTTACGATCTGTAACGCTTCCTGGATAATGTCTGTGAGGAGAGTGGAAGAGTTTTGCAACTTGTTATCCCTACACTTCAACAATGCGTTTATGTCATGTTTCACAAAATTTTGTCGTCTTTCTTCTAGAACTCTTCCAGTTACATCGAATATTCTTGTGCTTATACATGAACTGGCTGGTTTATCAAATCGTGATTTTACTAAACTACTCGGTTTTGAATATGTAATATCTATGTTTTGAACTATTATCTAAAAGATGTGTTGGAACATAAGGATCACTATGCATTTTTTTCACATAGGCCGCAACAGGCATACCATAAAAAGCCGAAGTTTACTGCAGGATTAGTGTGACACAAATGAGTTTAATTAAGATATCTATACTTTGCCGTTCTTCCATACTCATCGTATCATATAACATATTCTGGTAAAATTCCTCAATACAATGTAAGTAGCTCGATTGTGCTAATATCTTTCACTCTTTTGATTCTCTTAACCTGTTCTGCAGGACAGGATAGGGTAAATAACCATGCACATCTCTACCAGGTCCTATATATTCTAACTACTAAAGATCAGAATAATTTACCAGCTACGACAATGGTTTTGTTAGCTTTGCACCGCGACACGTCAATTGTTAAATACAAATCTAAAGATGCACACAAATTTCTTGTGTGCAAACAAGAAAAATAAAACTCTTTTTGTTGCTTCACTCTTTCTTTATTTCTTGTGAAGTAAATTTCATTTCTTCCAACAACAAATGAGTCAATTTATTTAATAATAGCTCTTTATTTTTTCTTAACATTCACTTGAACAAAATCTGCAAGGTTTAGGGGTGTTGTTTTTGCGTTCCGTTCTCAGGAACGGGGAACGGCGTACGTGAGGGTGTGGGTGTGGGTGTGGGTGTGGATGTGGGTGGGTATGGGTGTAGGATGTGGGTGTGGCTGTGGGTGTGGGTGTGCGGGTGTGGGTGTGGGGTCTGGGTGTGGGGTCTGGGTGTGGGTGTGGGTGTGGGTGGGTATGGGTGTGGGTGTGCGGGTGTGGGTGTGGGGTCTGGGTGTGGGGTCTGGGTGTGGGTGGGTGTGGGTGTGTGGGTGTGGATGTGGGTGGGTATGGGTGTGGGTGTGGGTGTGGGTATGGATGTGGGTGTTGGTATGGGTGTGGGTGCGGGTATGGATGTGGGTGTTGGTATGGGTGTGGGTGAGGCTAGAGATTCACACACCCCACCCCCAACCATACCCACACCCGCATCCACCACACTCACATCCTAAGTTGCAATGCGAGTTTCTTAGAGTTAAGCTCACATCAGTTGGTGCCGACGTTTGTCTTAGTTCTTAGAAGGAAATTCTGGTCTCTTCAAGCCTGTGTGACCTTGATCCAGGATATAATCCCTGTCAGGCCAGTATCGTACTGACCAGCGCTTCAGATCTTCGATCTCATTGTCCTTCCACAAGCCCGCTTTCCCTGTCTAGCAGAATCAACACCAGTCGGTTCTTTTCGTCCTAGGAGACTTTCAAAGGACCGTTGAGTAAGGTTAAAGAACTCACATGAATTCCATGGATATAATGTTCAATATTTGCACTAGACGCATCGACATCCACCACCGGAAGAGCTACATGGCAATCCCTAGTGGAGCGTCGAACTGCGCCCTTGTGTAGAACTAGCCGGCCGGAGATATATTTTGATCCCCGTACGTTATCAGAATAACCACGTGAAGGAGTCTGTATGATCCTGGATTAGCCTTAGGATCTTTCTTATTTAAGCATTTGGCTACAGAGATCGCACTGTAGCTGCCAATAAAAGGATTTAACTTATTGTTGGAAAAGCAATTATAATTTGGATAAAATAAAGAGGAATAAAAAAGTGAACATTAGACTAAGTAAGTAAAATACTGACAAATGGTTTCATGATTAAATATCGTTTCATTTGTATAAAATAATATGCTTTGGTTAAGTAATCAGTTCAACTGGAACCATGTATATAAACATATACATGCCCTCGGCTGCCAACTGGACGACAAATCTAAAATGCAACAATATATTTTTGTGATATTCGCTTGTCATATATAGTCGTTTTCTTTAAACATTACCTGACGTCTTGTACAGCCTCGTTTTTTTTGTCCATCAAATCGATAAACAGTTGTATATACTTTTTCTCTATTTTCGTCAATAACCATCGGTTTCACTATTAACATTTTTAGCTCCAATGATGTTGTTTCAACTAAAAGAGATAACCATCTGGACAATTTAAATTGTCCAACAAACATAAACCAAGCACATTTGTTAAGCCTTTTTTCAAATCAAATCAACAATAGACGACAAATTATTAACAAATGGCTGATTTTTATTTGTATTGAACTACAACAAAAATAAAAATAGCCTATATCGATATAAAAATATTCATATTTTACTTGAAATTGTATTGGAATTATCCCATTTTCTTCTATTTTCCACATACATGGTACAACATCTAAGTTTGCTGATAATGGCATTGGTTTTGTAACTGTTTCGGAGTTTTCAATGTCGATTGATTCAACCATCATCGATTCCTCATCCATATCAAAATGTCTATGCAAAGGACATAACCCGATAATATTTTCTACACCATTTGCTACAATTTCTTCACCACAATCAAGAACATCAGTCATTGTATACTTTTCATGTGCATCTTCAACTGTTCCTACTTGTTGATACACTTTGGGATCGTAAGTTAATACTTCACACATTTCAAAACAGTACTAATACCAAAAACCTTAAAAAAGAGTAAAAGAGTTAAAAGATGACAAATATAAAATATACAGTTACCTTTCGTTGGATTACTACTAGTTCACTTTTGAAATTGATATTTTTTTTTAAATAGTAGACTAATACTGTTTTTATACTTTGACGCTTCCTTTTCAATGAAAGACGTTTTTCTTCAAGTTCTGTTATCGTGCAGATCAGCGTAGTGCAAGACGATTTTGCGTGACACAGCGCAAGCTTCCGAACTGTAAATGGAATTTTTAATGTTTTTTTTTGACGAAAAGAACAAAACGTGGTACAGAACAGGTCTGTTTTTTTTCTCCTTTTGCCAGTTGGAATAAAGTGAAAGTAAAGTGTTCTTTTCTGCTCTGTGTGTCTACTCGAACAAACAAGTTGTGGCATGACATGACTATTTCATGGTTTTTTTTCCAACTTGCATTGCTTCTTTTCATATCTGGGGTCGGATCAGACCCATTTCTTGGAATTTCCCAGCAAACTTTTTTACTTGAAGTCTAGAAAGCAACATATAAGAATGCAGACAGACATATTTGTCATTTTTAGAGGTGAGTCTATAAGGGTAATTCTAAGCTACTTACAAGGGTGTGGGTGGGAGTGGGGTGTGTGGGTGTGGGTGTGGGTGGGTGTGGGTGGGGTGTGGGTGTGGGTGTGTGGGTGTGGGTGTGTGGGTGCGGGTGTGGGTGTGGGTGTGGGTGTGTGGGTGTGGGTGTGGGTGTGGGTGTGGGTGTGGGTGTGGGTGTGGGTGTGGGTGTGGGTGTGGGTGTGTGGGTGTGTGGGTGTGGGTGTCGGTATGGGCGTCGGAGTCTTCGTTTTATCTACATCCACACGCACACGCCACACCCACGCCGTTTAAGAACAACCACAAAGCTAAGGAATCCAACGAATTCCAGGATTTCATACCACTTGGGAGACTCGAGAATGGTCGGGAACTTAAGCAACTCAAGGAATTCAAAGGGTGTGAGGGTGAGGGTGTGGGTGGGTGTGGGTGTGGGTGTGGGTGGGGGTGGGGATGGGTGTGGATGTGGTCTTCTCTGTCACACCCACCCACCCACACCCACACCCTCCTTAATGAGAACAATTCAAAGTTTATGTATTTATACCATTTTGTAGAGCACATTTTGCTGCATCGATTGGTAGTATTTAATAAACTTCGAAGCAACATTTATGAAACAAAAAATACACTTTTCAGTAATTATCAAAAATCCATAAAAGTCGTTATAATCCATATTAATGTGGTTCTGAAGATGATTCACTAGCCACCTCTAATAAACCCTTATGAGAAAAGAAAACATACCAAAATGTGCCCCGAAAAATGGGCTTTCAGAATATATGACTTTCATTCAATTTCATGGGGTGGCAGATTTTGACCCTTATCCGGCGGGATCCTTTGTTATACTCAAGACTATTTGCTCTCACCTTTAGATGCTTGTTTTGATGAGTTAATATGTAACAAATATCTTTTGCAGTTGTTTTCATGTCGATCCAGAGCCACATTTCGACGAAGTGAACATTCAACGTCTTTGTGATAAAACTATTTTTTTTGACCATAGGAGTCAACATGCAATCAGAACTTATGATAAACTAGATTTTATTAGTATGAGTGAAGTGGATGTCATCCATATCCACACCCCTCAGAATTCAAAAGTCTTTTCGGAAATATGATCGAGAGAATGTGACGATTAAATTCCATTGTCAATCTTTTACGGTCTGTCTGCCTGTATACGACTGATTCAAAAAATGATCTCATCAATGTGAGTGTGAGTATCGCCAAATAAATTTGAGCACGCTATGTTTTCACAGTATTTCTGCTGAATACATAGAACACACGGGTCAGGTAATTTTTTCGGAAGAGAAAAACCTTTGAAAAAACATTGTCCTGATCGATTCTCATTGATTCTTCCTTCACATGTTTCAAATTCCTATGAATATCGTACAATTCACTGTTTTCTAGACTATTCTCTTATCAGAATTGTCGTTTGATAATAGTAGAAATTCAATTAGCTAGAAAGAGAAGTTTATTAAACGAGATGAATTCCTTCGAGTATCTCGTTATTTTATAATGATTTTGAAGCAAAACGAGATAAATTATTGCCGAAGTTAATATTATTCTCAGTGGTAAAATTAAAAAAAATTATGTGTTCCATCATACTGCTGTAGGTGAATAAATAGCAGGAATATTTCAAGCGATTATATTAAATTAAGGTTTAGTCACAGTAAGACTTTTGAAAGTTGCACTAGTATTGTCCACAAAAATGCCTCAAGAAGTTTTATGTGCTCGATAGATGCGGGCACTCAACGCAACTCGATGGTTAAGATAAGTCACCACCATGGAATTCTCTATAATGATATGAATGATGATAGGGTGTGGGTGTGTGGGTGAGGTGTGGGGGTGAGGGTGGGTGACTGTGTCGGTGTGAGTGTATGAGGAGAAAACACCCACATCGATACCCACACCCACACCTACACACCGCACCCCACACCCCACACCTACATCCACTCACACCCACCCCACACCCGCACCCACACCCACACTCACACCCACACCCACACTCACACCCACACCCACACCCACACCCACACCCTCGTCATCATCTTCTTCTGAGGATTCATAATACGTCATATAATCATA